TTTTATCTGGTAACTGTCTGACCGCTATCATTTCACCTTGCTTGATGCGATTGCGTGATCCCTTTCTGCCCCAAACCCATGCAGAATTTCCATAATTGGAAGTCAACCCGGATAACAGCCCTTCAGCGGGTTTGATGAAACTTGACAGGAGGTCACATAAGCTGACATATCGTTCGCTGTTTGACTTCAATTTGCGATGCTGGTTCCAGCCATCTACGAGTAGTATTAATTACAAAAATTGGGTGCCGTGTTACCGCAGGCGGAGCTAGCTCCGTTGTACATTCGCAATATTTGGGGTCAATTTGATCGCAGAAAAATGCATGCACCAACCGGAAAGATACAAAGAAAAAAGCGCTTGAAAATAGATAAATCTCTGAGAATTGTTCTCAATCCAAACCATCTCCATATATATCTCCATATAATCTGAGCTCACCTCGCTAACAACAGAGGGCTGTTTCTCTCGCGTGTTGCTAAAGCCGTTTAGTACCTACATGCCGATGCCGTCATCCAGTCCCACATCACGCGAGTCAAAATTACCGCCATTGGAAGGGTTTCGCTCGTCACTAAAAACAAAAGCCGAGTATTTCCGTCCCACCTGACGAGTTTTCGGGTCATTTGACGGACCTACCATAAGATGCGCGCATTCTCCATTTTGCGTGTTTATCTCTTTCTGAACATCCCGCAATTCGCCCGATTTGGACAGACACCCAAGACTGCTTGAGTGCAACGCCAAGATGACTGCGCAGCGGGAATATGGCACCGTCAGCAAGGACGTGGGTGTCACGAACAGCGACACCGAGGGAGAGTCCAGCAAAGACACACGGATCTTGGTGCGTGACCTGACACGTACAGACTGTGTGCCGGGGGTATGGGCTGACTGAAGAATTTAGGAAAACCTAGGTTACAAACCTGTAAGTTGCAAACGTCCTTATTGGGACTCTCGATAGCTGACATGATTTCTAGGTGCTGCACAGAACGTTTAATGTTTTCCACAATTTTGCGACAACCTTTGGTGAGTTCCGCATCGGAAGCTCTCAACTGAACGCGCGCGCTAAGTTTGACTAGCTGCTCTTTACTTCATTGGCGGTGTTCGCGTGACATTCTCGACTGGAATTGCAGCTGGCGGAAACTTGGCTTACTGGTAAGGTCAAATCCACACTGCGCTAGCTCAAGCATGCTCAACAACAAGCAGGACGAGTTTTATCGTTACATGCGTCTTCACATTCATTACCGCCGCTGTCATCGCAGAAATTTGCTCGTCACTTCCTCTTGCTGGTTCTATCTACTTGTGGGCTGCTGAAGCTGGAGGGCCCAAGTACGGAAGACTGCTTGGTTTCATTGTTGCGTGGTGGAGTACCACTGCGTGGACAACGTTCTGTGCCAGTGAGTTTTGAGTTCCAAGTTCAGAACCTGTTGTCAACTCTATGACGCATAGACTCACAAAGCTTCAGGCAACACTCAGGGAGCTGTCAACTATATGCTTTCGGTCAGTTACCGCTTAACTCCGAATATGGCTGGAAGTATTCTTGCTGATGAGTTGACAGGAAATCGTCGTCTTCAACTTGGACTTCCCGTCTGACAGCTCAAGTATCAAGTTCAGGGCGGTCCAGTGGGCTGCGACTGAAGTAATGCTTGCCGCTGCCGCAATTTGGAACTTGCTGCCGCGTAGGTTGTTCATGTTAGTGTCACTGCAACTCTGCTAACAGTAGCCCAGCTCGCTATTTCAAATGGATATTCTACCTGTCCACTGGCTTTGTCCTGTTGGACTTTGTTCTGAACATGATCTGGTTGCCCATTGCCACAAAAAACACCATCGGCTTCCGCTCAGCTCATGATGCCTTCTTGACGACCTACAACGGAACCGGCGCGCCCGATGGATGGAACTGGTGTCTCTCGTATCTTGCCACTGCGGGTATCCTCATTGGCTTCGACGCCTCGGGGCATGTTGCGGAAGAAACCAAGAACGCCAGTATCGCGGCTGCACAAGGCATCTTCTGGAGTACTGTCACCAGCGGCATTGGCGGTTTCATTGTCGTCATTCTTTTCCTATTTTGTGTTGTAAGTCTAAATAATGCAGACCAGCAGTTACATATGTTGACTTGACACAGCCCGACGCGGATACCCTCTTCTCGTACGGCGGTGCTCAGCCGTTCGTGCCTTTGTACGCTGCCATTCTTGGCCAGAGGGCACACATTTTTATGAACATCATCTGCATCATTGCTCTGTGGTTTGTAAGTGACACTCAGAGCCCCGTAATGCAGAAGAAAGGCTGACCCTTCTTAGAACACTGCTATCGCTGTCCTTGCAGCCTCTCGCCTGGTCTTCGCCGTCGCTCGCGATGGTGTCCTGCCATACTCCTCCTGGGTTTCTAAGGTCGTCGACGGTCAACCCAGGAACGCGATTCTCGTCGTGTGGGGAGTGGCTTCCGTCATCACTTGCACAATCCTCCCATCCTCCGTGGCCTTCACCTCGCTGGTCTCCGCGGCAGGTGTACCGTCGGCGGCCGCCTACGGTCTCATCTGTCTGGGCAGACTTTTTCTGACTCCCAAGACATTCCCCAAACCTGCTTGGAGTCTTGGAAAATGGAGTCGCCCCTTCCAGGCGATCGCCGTGTTGTGGAATGGCTGGGTTGTGGCGGTGCTGTTCTCCCCGTATGCATTTCCCGTAGAGGCGTCAACACTCAACTACGCCCCGGTCATCATGGGCATTGTCACCATTTTCGCGGTGTTCTCATGGTGGTTTATCCCTGCTGAGAAGTGGCTGCCCTCTCAGCGTATCCAGGAGACGTTGGATGCCGGAGAGAGACCGTTGGTCGAGCATTAGGCCATCCTTCCTGTTGAGCAACATGAGGTTTGAAGCTTTGTGAGGCTGCCAAACATTCAAACTGAACTACAATCGTTGGTTCATTAAGTTTCTAATTTCCCGGGAAGACCGTACACAGCCCGACATAGACTACATACATAATATTCTCTGCTAATAGAACCACGAGTTGAAAGAGATCTAAGCACCCTTGAACTATTTCGTAGCAGCCTTTCCAAATTAAGGAAGTTTAGATGCCATGATACAAGACTAGGCTTGTCCAGGAGAACAGACAACTCCGTTTGTAAATCGATCAAAAAGATCACCTTGATGGACATGTACGCCTGTTACCACCCCTATGTAGCCAAGTAGCAAAAGGTATCCGTCCGGACCGCAAGGTACTTCACTTTCTTTTTTTTTCCCTTCCAAAAACAAGGTCGCGGTCGCACCCTGAAACACCCAAACGCCAGCGAGCACTTACTTTCGCAAAACTTTAGAAGCTCCTCAATCTCAAAATCTCCAACCTTGTGGGCATCTGCAATCTACTTCACTTTGCCCAACTGCAATATCAACATTTCATGAGCGACAAACAACGACATCGAGAACATTCTACACCGCCAAGTACCAAAATGGCCACCCAGACATTCCACCAGTTTCCCATGCTGCCCGGAGAGATGCGAGACCGAATCTGGGATCTCGCAGTTCGCCCGCCCGGCTACCGAGGCGTCCACATCTTCACCTATATCGATGAAAACAGCTACCGCGACCATCAGCCTACTTCTAACACGTTTCCTTGACACCTAGCAAAGAAGATGGGCGACGATCGCCGATTCGTCGGCGCACCGACTCCCGCCAACGACACAGCCCCGCACTCCTGGACCGCGGGAAATCCGTCAACGTACGCCGTCGACGGAGGCCTCCTCACCGCCTGTAAAGAGTCTCACATGGCAATGTGCCGTCGCTATAACGTCGGAAAGTGGTCCAAGTACGTCAATGCTTGTTCAAAAGTAACGGACCCGATACAATATTCGTACTTGCCGGAATTCGCTATGAACATGGATGAATTTCCAGCAATGTTCAGCGTCGAAAGTTGTGGAAGCCCCCAGTGCTTCATGGTTCTTCCCTGCCAGGACCTAGTACTTCTGCAGGTGTGGGACGTCATCATAGACACTGAATGGGTGATAACCAAGCTCATGCCATTTGCACCCCGGCTAGTCGGGAGCAGCATGGTCAAACACATAGCCCTCGAATTCGACAGTTCATTAACCATCGATGGCCTCCGAGAATATCAGTATTTTTGGAGACGCGATCTTAACAACGGACTTAAAGGAGTTTACCGCGATTATCCCGATAACATGGATAAAACGACTTGGCTGGAATATCACGGGCTGGTTTCGGCCATGAAGAGTTGGACGTCATCCCCGGATACGAGGCTCTGGCTCGTCGATCGTGGACTGCGCCAAAAGCAAACCGTCCTCGACGCGCAGGCATCGTACTATGTATTTGAAAAAATTGATGAAACGAGCCACGAGCGTCTCGTTTTCGAGGCCGAAGACAGCTCATACTTCGGTCTTCCGAATCTTTGCGCTTGGGAATTTTGCGAGTACGAAGATAAGACGAATGAAACGACGACAATATGGGAGTTCATATCCGTGTTGGACGATATTGCCGGGTATCACCTGTTGAAAGAGAGAGACCAACACTATCAAATTGGAGCCCATGTTGACTTCCATACTTTCGGGATCTTGGTTTGTGAGCCTAAGCACTAATGTCACAAATAACCTCCAGAATCTGATCAATTTTCGATCTCTCAAGACTCAAAATCGCGAAGGCAGACGAGATCTAGCAACCATTGAGTGGGGGATTTGGGATGGCAGGGGAGTCCAAGGTGCCTTCTTCAGTTTTATATCCGCAATTTGACACCTCGATGGATAAAGTGCTTCTCATTTAAACTCATAGTTATGATCTCGTGAATGTGTGAATGTCCCGTGAGGGAGTTCAGTCTTGTCCTGTGGCTTTGTTACGCGCCACCCTGTACTGTACAAACAACCGTCCGTCCCCCTTTCCATTTCCCGTGCGATTCCGTGAGTCAAGTCTTTGAGCGAATACCAAAAAAAAGCAGTTGTCCCATCCCATATGTTCACTCCGAATGCCGTTGTCCGGAAGACCAAGTCTTAGTCAATACCCCGCGCGTCCTCAACTCACAGCGGTCTTGCTGCAAGCCACCAGACCTTCTGGCCATTGCTCCTCGCCGCGATACCTTCCCCCCTCTTCCACAACTTCACGCTGAAATCTTCGTATGGGTCAATCGCCTCGTCCGTCATCCCGAAATCCTTCAACTGCGGTGCCCAACTTTGCACTTGTCCCAGCACTGCCTTCAGTATCGCCACGAAGGCGAGGCCATGCCCGCTCCCATCCAAATCCCGGTGCATTGTCTCAAAGTCTGTTCCACACTGTTTCTGTCGACAGGAAAGGAGTATCAGGTAGGCGTGGACCATTTCGTGGATCGCGATTTGGATGACTTCTCGGAGCGAAAGCGCCTCCGTCTTGCCGTCCGCATGGTGGCGGACCGTGCTCAAACGGATGGAGATGCTCGGGCTCGGACTGGTGTTGCGTAGTCCAGGCTTAGTCCGGAGAGCCTGAGTCCACCCCACGCGACCCCGCCATTGTCCGATTTCGAGAAGCACCGGATGCGAGGCGTGGTTCAAGTGGGCTGTGAGGAAGAGCAGACCGGGAAAGCAAAGCTCATCGATCAATTTCATGAGGGTAAAAATCGTGCTGGCTGAAACGATTTTCGGGCTTTTGTCGGATCCTTGTTTTGATAGAATGCGGGCGACGCTATCTCTCAACGGTTTCTCGCGGGCGGTCCATTGCACTTGTCCGGCGATGCTCTCGGCTAACGTTATTGCGACGTCGTTTATGTTGTGTGACTGCGTTTGTACCAGGTGATCGTTCTTTCGGAATATCGAGGAGTGTTGGCAGCGCGGTGGCGAATTTCTCGATCTCTTCTGTGATTCTGCCATCTTAAAATTGCTGCAACGGTCGAAATGATGTTTGGCAATTGTTCGAGTTTGAAGTGATAATGGTGACAGGTCCGTTTTGTAAGTTTTGTTTCTTGCACCTTGACACGCTTGGGTGCGTCTGGCGCAGCTGCCAGATGTCGCAGCGTTGGGCACGTTCCTTCCTTCCCATATGGTTATGTAGGAAGGGTCAAAGAAGGTGCCTGGGCTCGTTCCCAGGACTCAAATTCCGACCGCAGTCAGTGCCGCGGGGTGGTCTTGATGGGTTTGGGAAGTTCTGCGCGTCCCGCGTAGCATGGTGAAAGAAACATGGTTATGTGCTGGGAAGGAGGGACGAGGGAAAGCAGTGGTGTGTACTGCTTTGGTTTAGAATTGATGATACGATATGTAGAAAGCCTGGCCAGGCCAGGGAAGAAGAGTCTAAGATGATGGGAAAGGGATTACAAGGTAGTAGTCCGTCCGTATGTTGAGCCGAAAAGATGCACCTGGTAGATTCCGCATGGAGGACCGCCGCCGTCAAAACCATTGATAACACCGTCGCCATGCTAATATGCTTTTCAAACTTGACACGCCGTTGTGCCGACCCGCGAAACAAATGAAAGTAAAAAATACAATGACTGGCGATGCCGCTGATGCATTCCGGCATCCCCTAACGTATGGTGATGATGGAGCTGGGGCTGCTGTCGTAGCTTAAGACCAGCCCTCGTCGATCATCGGGACGGGCCCATCGCCCGTCGTGTGAGTCATAATGTCGTTCGTGGTGAGCAGATGAGTGTCTGCTAGAGGCGTAATCGTCGGGGAAGTAGAGTCGTCCACGTGTCTCGCGGATCTCGCCTTCCTCCAACGGCTCCACTTCTTCAAATTCCCCCTCAGTCGTGGTCGGGATCGTCGATGTGGGACTACTACCCCGACTGACAGGAAAGTATTCTGGGTGGTCATTGATGCAAAAATCCCAACGATCCTGGTGGTGGGGGCGTGGTCTGTCATGTTCGTAGGATCGGTGCTCGTAGTAAATGTGCTGATGAGGCGAAAGGTACTCCTGAGAGCTGTAGAAGATGGCCCGAGGAGACGCCTCAGGAAATGTCGGCCCGTGACCGCAGGAGCGACCTTCGTCCTCACGGAAATGCTCTAGGTCAGCTTCCATGTCGCGGAGGTGCAGGTTGTCCGACCCGGCCCAGATATCGATGAGCTCTGCGATTCTCCGAAATCCTGGCGTGTGTCCACCGCAGTGACGAGCCTTGATGCCGCACTTGATGAATAGGTAGCTGTGAATAAGTTCGTGTAAAAACGTTGAGATGAGAAGCCGTCGATTGTACTTCTTATCTTTCAAGATTGGGTTCGAAAGCACAATGAGGGTCTCGAATCCTCCCATCTTGGAACGTCGAAGAGCTGTGGTGCCGATGATGTGGTCCTTGTACTGGGCGCTGGACGCATGAGACCAATCCCAGGTGACTCGCTGAGAAAGACAGTTGTGAAAGAAAATCTCATTTGCCGCAGAGAAGATACTCTCCAACGCGGCGTTGTCGATGGAGAACTCGGCGTGGCGTGACCGTGGTTGAATGAGCGACCTCAAAATCCTCTCCCGCTGCGTGTCTTTCGCTCGGCGCCGGTTGAGGTGCAATCGATCCTCCACCATTCGGGCGGCAGCATCATCGTCCAGAAGTCTCGAGTCCTCATCTTCGGCGAGGTTATAAATACTGGTGTCGGATGAGATTGATAAACCTGATGCGGTCCTTTCCATGGCTGATGGGCAGACATCGGGTTCCGCACATTCGGGCGTGGGCGGTGTCGGCGATGTTTGCTCTCGGATAACCAGAAAAGACAGGTTTTGCACGGGAACAGAGCCGCGTGGTGGTGGTGGTGTACAGCCGGGGTCCGAGTCGGGAATGAGATGTGATAATCTCGGCCTCTTTGGCTGAGGAAATGCGTCCTGGTGGTCGTAGGTGTCGTAGAAATCGTCTTCATCAAGATGACCAATCCGTCGTTTGCCACCCATAATGTACAGGTCGGGACTCAGGGTATTGTCCTCGCCCTGGGACAGTGGCCTTGCCTCCCCTCCTACCACCCAAAACGCCATTGAACATGTCTGGAGAGTTGCAGATGGGTGTGAAAAGGTGAAAATGGATGGGAAAGGGCAAATCTCGGAGGATCGGGGTAGGAGAAGGGTTGGCAAGCCGGGGGGTTGAAAGTGAAATACGGGCGGCTTCGCACCCTGGAGTCATGTGCGCCCGGAAATCGCATTGAGCATGCCGGTGGAGAAGGGTGATGGACGACGGCGTCCTTCCAATGGCTGGGTACGGCAACTAACGAGGAATGGATAAGTCGGGAAGCCCATGCCAGAGAAACGAAACAAAGACAACGGTTTCGAGTAGGGTAGTGAGGCGAATGGGGGAGTGATGGGAATTCCTGCCAGAGAGCCAGAGAGCGTCTTCTCTGGGCGAACAACAGATGCATGGAGAGACCCAGCTCAGGGCCGCACAGCGTAGCATGGGCCGTCTAGGCCCCCTTGGCTGGCGCTCCAATGCAGAATCCCAACCAGCGGGACGAGGTTTTGGGGGTCGTTTGCGGTTTCGATAGGTTGGGTGGATGGCAGACGACCGTCGTACGAGCGGTGTGCAGGAGCTAAGGCGGATATGCGTGTGCGGCGTTGCGCATCGCAGATTTAGTGCGAGGTCCATCGCTGCCATCCCCCGACCGGTGCAAGGAACGTGGCGTCGTCAGGGCCGTCTTGGTGTTGGAGCTCGACGAACCTACCCTCCCAGCGCTGCCAACCTTGCAAGCCTCGAAGGCTGCCATTGCACGCCTCAATCTCAATTGCCCTGAGCCGCCCTCCCTGCAAGCAAGACACAGCTAATGCTGCTGATGTTGATGACGCAGGAGACGTGGTGCTCGACGCCGTCTCACATATATGCAGTCCGTCAGCCAGACAGCCCTTCCAGACCTCGTGGCCGCACAGGAATCTCGAGATCACGAGTCCACCCGAAATCGACGGCTCGCCGGATGCAGTGCAGAGCGCGGGCGGAAGAGTCCAGGTCCAGGCATTCGAGCGACCGCGGCGACGGCGACGGCAACACAGCAGCACCTTCACTGCTGCAGAGCGAGGGATGGATGGCAAGGACGCGCACCCGCTGGGGCGGTGGGGGGAACAACAATGGAAACTGGAAACTGGAGGCGTAGTGGTGGGCGGGAGGCGAGGGTCGGCCGTGTCCAACAGATCTGGTTGGGTTCGGCAACGGGGGGCTGGACTTTTGCCGCCCATCATTGGCTGCGCGACCCCAGACTCGACCTCTCATTGGTTGCCTCACCCGTGCACATCGTCGTCGTCTGTGGTCGCCTCCTTTTTTCGAGGCTTCCAATATTTTGGAGATTGGATTGCCAACAACAGAAGTTGGAAGCCAACACCACTCTCACTCTTTCGCATCCCACCCTGGTCCGCCGTCCGCTCGCTCGCTCGTGCTGCCTATCCGTACGGCGTACGCTTGTCCATGACGACTCGGCCACAAAGACCCACGGAGCATCCTCCGACGCAGAGCCAAACAGACGACGAAGTCGACCAGGAAGCTGACTCCTACACCCCGTCGAGTACAGGGCAGGCGAGACACACGTCCGGTCGTTGTTGCACTGCGCCGCCATGCGATGCGATGCGATGCGGTGTGCTTGCAATGCATGTGGTATCTCGGAATGTTTGTTGTTAATGCTGTTGATGCACATGGGACTGCGAATATCCACGAACGGGTCCTGTCGATTGACAGGCATTTTGATGCTCGCTGCATTGGTGACACTCGCTGACGAAACAATGCTCTTCGCCCTGTCTTCGCCAGGTATGGGTCCCATCCTTCCTAGACACCGCTGATCTTTGCTGTCTCGGCGGGATGCCATTCAGGATCTTGCCCGCTCGCCCCCAGCTGGTGACTGGTGTTTCTGGGTTGAGCCCACGTCGAGCCGAAGAAAGTATTCCCAGCTGCCCGGAGAGCTGTCTTTCGAGGCCCGCAACGCATTGAGTGCTTGCGTCTGTCATTCTTCGGTCCCTTAGGCTCGGACGAGACCTGTGAGCACGGACTGCGGGCAGGCCGAACTCTATCTGCTTGACTCTTTAATGCGCCAGCTTCTCCGAGTCTTGGGAAGGAAACCATCGATGCCTGTATCCCGACTTCCCCTCTCGGTAGATGAGGGGGAATTGGAGTTCGTCGTGCGATGCTGCCGTGCCGAGATCCATCACGATTGAGAGTAATGTTTCGTGTGTCGTGGATCGGCAACGAGCTAGCAGTGTCGATTGTCTAATTCCTAGGTTTGTACGATGACTTTGCCAAGCTGAATGTGATGGATTACAAGCCTCAAATGTTGATCTTGGTTGATAGTGATTGACTAGTCTCACGACCGTCGCTTCGCTTGCCAAAGCAGCTGAAGCTTCAACGATCTGGAGGAAGGGAGATGGGAATGGAAAAGTGGCCCGGGATGGGTGCTACCGAGAAACCATCAGGCTGGACGGGACCCTGATGGACCCTGAATGTGCTTCGTGACCACTATCGTCGCAAGTGCGGATAACTTCATGGCTGCCAAGATAGGGCGATGCTGAGAGTGAATCCGGGACGTAGGAGCCGACACACGGATGAGGAAAACGAGCCTGAAGATGGTCCAGGGTCCTGCCATGTCAAAGAGGTGGAAGGATGACAGGGTCCATCGACCAGGGGGTGGGTGCTCTTATCGCGAATGATTATCGCCTATCGCCCATGGAGCCTGGACTAGCCTCCTTGGGTCTAGACCCAGCTGACTAACCAGGAGGAGGTTGGTGTGCTTGCTCTTTCCAACGACATGTCGTTCCTTCCCCGAAAATTGTCGAGATGGAGATGGCCTCAACAGCGTTGCGAGGGCGGCAACGCCTCAAAACCTTGAAAATAATAAGGCAGGTGCACCTTCCAGCAGACTTTCCACCTGCATGAGGCTGGATTTCGTTTCAATTTTCGTCTTTTGATAATTTTTCTTCCCTTTTTTCAATCGGGCTTTGTGGGAGGTTGTCAAAGCCCTGATGTTCAATAAGTGGAAGGAGCTGTGGACAAGGCTTTGTGACGCGCAACAGAACCGACATGTTTATCTGGTCCGAGCTTTACCAGTAGAGCCAATGTCATCGATTTCTTTGGCCTTGGGCTGTTTTTGTACATCGTGATTGACGCCGCTGGCGGACCTGGCGCGAATGGACTTACAAGCCAATCGAAATTGCCTGAGTAGACCAACTCCCGTATGATGATATATGCACCACTCAAATACATTTTGAATTCCAGCTTTCTAAATGAACCCGTCCTCAGTCGTTCATGATATCAATATGTGATGTTGTCGCAATATGCTTCTGGGTCCCACCTCGGTCCCATCATCCGCACTGACACTGATCCACAAGAAGCCTCCATCCTTGGAGGGAAACATCCATCCATATGGGGTTGCGCACTTCCAATTGCCAGAATGAGCGGCGTAGATTCATCAAGACGTTGGTACGGAGTTCATGTGGACTGGGGGCTCAGCAAGAGTACAAATTGACTTGCTGTGTATGCTGAAATAGATCCTCCCATCATGACCTGGCAGTTGGACAACAGGTCTGATTGCACACCGTGAGCTCGCCAGGCTTTTAACTCTCATTATGGGGCATTTCAGAAGACTGGCGTCCTGGGCCGTGTTTAAGCGGGGCGCTGTCCTGGAAGCGAGTCCCGGGCTGAGCCATAGGAACCAGTATCACCACTCGCGGCCAACATCTCGAACCTGTCCAAAATCGACGCTCCTTCCTCCGTTGAAGACAGGAGCTACGCCAGGCAGCCGACCTCCCTCTCTTCTCTTCTCGCGACACAACTTTTTTTGCTCCGCCCACAACAAATTTTCCTTGCCACTCTCCCACTCTCCCACACTGCCACCACCACCTCTCCCATCTACAACAACGTGGGCGAGATTTATTCTTCCCACACCTTGTCGACCAAATTTTGGCAATCCTCCCCTCTTCACATCCCTTGACGACAGTCTTTCTGGCCTTGTTTTCCCCATTCACAAATTTCTTGCGCGTCTCCTCGTGGCGCGTCCTTTGGGAGTCAAGCAGCTTTACTTTGGCAGTCTCGTCACAAGTCTGATTTGCACCCCTTCCTGATCAGATCACATTCTTTTCAGTATCAATATCTCTCAGAAGGCTTCGTCCGACGCATATTTCATCTCTTTGAGATTGCTGCGCGAGACGATCTTCACCCCATCACGCTCTATTTGGCCCCTTCACGAGAGGCAGAACTGAGGATCCGTTTTCAATACTTCCCAAGCCGCAATCCCAGTCGATTCCACAATGGCTGACAAGCAGAAGACCAAAGAGGTACAGTTTTTTCGCACCTTCTATTTTTATCCATCTCAAAAGCTTGATCCTAACGCCATGCAGCGCCCTGCTAAGCGCTCGCTCACTCCGAACCGCAACTTGTACAGCTCATTCAACGAAGCTCACCGGAACATTGCGCCGCCTACTCCCAAGCTACCCTTCGAGACGGTCCTGGGAAACGGCCAGCGATTGACCCAAGAGCAGCTTGAGCAAGTTGAGCAGATTCTGAGTGATGCCAATCGGTCCAAGGATTCCGAGGAGCCAGAGAGCCAGGTGAAGACCGAGGAGACAGAGCTTCCCAGTATCAGCACTCAGTCCGGCAATGGAACCAACTTTACGAGCCACTCCGCCCAATCTGCCGTTGAAGCCAAGAGAGAGACCATCAGCAAGGACCCTCGCGCCTCTTCTGTCTACCCATCTGATGATGAGTACGCCTTCATCGACACCTCGATCTCGTCTCTGCCCGAAGCCAAGGCCAAGCAAGAGCAGCCGCACCCTGCAGATGACCCATTCGCCAGCCGAAATGCCCTCGACAACTGGCAAGATTCCTCCTCCATCTATCCCGAGGACGCTATTTCTTTGGGTCAGGTATCTGATGATGAGCCCGTTCCCGAAGTCAAGCTCGAGCCCAGGTCGTCTCCCGTCATGGCTTCACGCACCACTCTTCCTCCGCCTGTTGCCACGAGCTCCCAAGACCGCTCCCAGCAAAATCCGCAGTCTCACTTCGACGATCTTCCCAAGTGGAAGGACTCATTTGGCTACTTCGACACCACTCACTCTAGCCAGAATGTCACGCGCTTTCCTGTTTTTCTTGATCCCTTCACTGGTTGTTCCCCAGCTTTCCCCAGAATGCCCCAGCCCCAGCCCCAGCCTGTTGCCAAAGCGGTGGAGACAAAGACTGAGGCAAAGCATAATGGCCAAGCTTCCAAAGCCTCAGAGAGTCGGTTCAACGCACAAGACAATGGCAAGGCGTCCTCCAGCCGGCTCAACCCCTTTCACGCATTCTCAGGTTGTTCATCTCAAGAGTCTGAAGATGACGATTTTGAGGAAACCCAGCTCAAGTACAAGGAGAAGGTCACGCGACTCAGTGCGGAGAAAGAAGTGTCTCAAGCTCTTCATCACGCTACTGGGATCAGTCAACCCTCATCCGGCCTTGTTGTGAACCGTACTCGTTCATCCCACACGCACGATCTTCGCAACTCCCCTAACAACCCAGCCAAGACTCAGCGGCAAGGATTCTACCATGCGCCAGCAATCCAGCCCTCCTGGAAGGTCACTTCATCTGGAGTCAAGGTTCCCGTTGCCGCCCAGCACCATGGCCCAGACGATATCAATACGCCGGCAGCTGAGCCGTACAGCGCTATTGACAACACCAACATGGCTGCCATGGCATCGACTGCAGATGAGAGAGCTGGTTTTGATGGAGAAGAAGATTGGCGCACTGTGACTGACGACCGCGAATTCCCCACTGGCGCTGTTGGCAGAGTCATGACTGGAAGCAGCATTGCCAACGTCTCTGACAGGGTCCTCATTCAGCATCCCAACGCCCACGAAGCTCGTCGCGCTCTATCCGCCACTGGCCCTTGGTGGAGAAGAACCGCAGGCACGCAGCCCGTGACGTCGCCATTGTCTCCTTTCCCCAACTTGGGCTTCCCTACACCCCCTCAGCCCACTATCCCTCCTAATCGTCGCCAACAGGAGTGGCATGATGTGGAATTGGACTCCCTGAATCCTGCTCTGCAGCACCCTGGCTCTCGTCCTCGCACCGACACAGGAGAAACAGTCAGTGGCCTCTCCCAGTCCAAGTTCCCCTTCCCTCTAGTCTCTCGAGAGGATGCATCCAAAATCCAAGCTGTACGTCGCGCAAGTGGCCTGGAGGATCATACCTTGTCTGGCAGCCTCGTCTCACCTACCATGCGCCCCAATTCTTCCATTCAAGACAGCAGCTATGGTCTCTCTCGTCCCGACAACCGCAAGGATTCTGCCCATTCACAATTCAGTCAGACCAAGAACGGTAGCTACCACGAGGCCTTCTCTTGTAAGTACCCGCCCTTTTGTGCCCTACCTCCCTTTGCCCTGAGCCCTTTCACTACAAATTCTTTTGTGGCGAGGACTTTCGATCCCACCACCTTCTTCCTACTTCCTCCTCCCATCCACAACTTTCCCCATCTTCCAATTTTCCCTCCAACAACGCCTCCATTTCTCGTCGCTCAAAACAGCATCTGATTCTCTTCAAATAGCCCATCGCCAAAACACTTGGGGCAACCAGCCCACGTCGGGGCTGCCCGCGCGCCCTTCTCCTTTGCAGGAGAGGGCTCCTACCGCGGCGAGCGGCAAGGCGGCTCGCGTCACACACCGAGCGGCCGCCGACGCCCTCGCCAACCAGCGGGCGCGGGAGGGCTCCCCCCACCTCTTCACAAGGGAGGGGGCCCGCGTCATCAGCACCGACGTGGAGCTGGCTGGCATTGCCGGCCCCAACATGCTCTCGGAGCGCGCGCAACGGCGCTCCAAGCTCTTCTACCGCGGGGTCATGGCCATCACCCTCATCATCCCCTTCGTGGGATGGGCCATGACCTCGTGCAGAGCCGACTCAATGCTCACGGCCATCACTCAAGGAGAGTGCTCTGGCCTCTCCCACGGCCAACGGCGCAACATGCGCATGATGATGTTCGGAGGCTTCGCCCTCTGGTGCATCGCGGTCGTCGTCGTACTCATCATTACGGCTGCCACCCGGCACTGAGTCAAATGCTCTGGTTCTTTTTTGTTTTTTGAAGATTTGTTGGATTGAGTAGGTCTCCATCTTCTTTTGCCGGCGTCTTCTCTCACTGACTAATTCGTTACAGATACGGCGGATACGATGACGATGACGACAACGACGAAGAATGACGATGAAATTTTTGGAGTTGGAGGAGGAGGTCCCTGCCTACGGGCATACCTAGTTATCATTGGTTTGGGTCGGCGGTATGGTTCTCGGTTGGCTCGTTTCGTTCTGGTCGCTGGTTCGGTTCGGTGTGGTTTGGTTCGATACTTCAGGCTACGGCCTCGTTCAGGAGAGGGGAGGCACCTGGCCCTCCCCGTCTCAGTTCAATCGACGGTTCTATTCACGTAACGATTTCGTTCCTCGTCTCCGTGACTCCCAGTGTATTTGCATGTGAAGCTACCGGAGAAGATGTTTGCCCTTCTCGCGGCGGAACACAAGCTCTGGCGCGCTCCGTGAAGTCACCTGACAGGAGTTCCTGCTGTGATAGCTTCTACGCGAGAGCCGAGACCTTGAATCAGCACGACTCTGCGGAATTCTAGTCTACCTAACGACTCCTGCACTTTGACGCCATCTACATCTGAGAATGGCCGCAGCGGTTCCCAGTCTCTCGAACTCGGGGCGGGCGTCATCGACAGAGGCGCAGAAAAACCATCGCGCCCCTTAAAGCCACACAAATATGGGCTCTCGTATAAGGCAGCCCATGTTCCTCAAACAGCAAGCCTTGCTGAGCCTGCTACGTCATACGTAGTTGCTCTGCTTCTTGCCTCATGGAGTTCGTCCTGAGCGACCCATTAAACGCCGCGTGGGAAGGCGCCCAACCTGAATCTACAACTGCGCTTTCCGTTTGACGTCATCCTGACCAAATCTATAGAATGATACGCTTGAATCGGTAGCTCCTGCCGGTTTCATTGAGCTGCTGCATGATCGCGAGCTGCCAAACCCATGTAAACGAGAATAGAATGGTGACCTGCGCCCACACATGCGAGGAGGCATGCAGTAATGCCGAAGTGGAATACGATGAGAAAGATGACGGACTGCGGAATCCGCATTCGGACACGCGACTGGCCGTCAAAGATCACAAAACATTCGCAGCTGAACTCAACATTCTTGCAGTTCCAAACCAACGATGGTAAACACCACGCACATTGGCGTCTGCTGTGATATCATATGGAAGTGGACCTCGTGATTTAGAGAGTGGGAATCTGTCACAAGCCTACGTCAAATTTATATGTGCCTTGTTGTCAAAGCCATAATCATTTAAATACTGCGTGTTCTTCAGCCAGGGCAGTGGCCTGTAGCTAGTAGCGAAGCAATGGTTGATACCGAAGAATGAGCTTTCAAAGCATCATATCCTATGTTGAGTCTGACCACCCCTCGGTTCTTGCGTGCGGTTTCAAGGCCAACCTGCCGACTTCGGCCACGTTGTTAGCATCGCTTAGCCGTCTGTAATGTATCATATTATTCGACCTGTGCGCTGACGATGACGATACTGGACGACAGTTTCTAATCCCTCTGGCCTGCCTATCTAAAGGACATTCTCCCATGCTATTACAAAGATTGATGGAGACTTGTGTGTTTCCCCCCACCTGGATGAAATGCTCGAGTTCTTGGGCGGTTTATCTTGCCTCTCACAACCCTCGTACCTTTTTTATCTTCTACTGACCTTCAATGGACGACTTGTGAAACGTACTGTCTTATGGCTTCATGCAATTCTCGCTCAGTTGTATTTAAGAGACTTGATTTCTGGTCAGACGTTTTCACAGCCGGACAATATACTCCAATGGTAGTATGACTTCGATATTATAGAAGCTGATTGAGCTGCGTGCCCCTCGCCGCAGCAGAATATTCATGTTGAAAGTGAAATCCATGACAGCAAACGCGACTGTTGCCAAATCACGAGCTGCGAAATTGCGTAATTGCCCTCTCTTTCGAAGTAGGACGTGGCGGACAACGGACACAACTGATGCGTGAACATTAATTTTGCAGCAAGTTCTCGTCGACTAGCAGCTCAAACAACCTGAGACGAACGGGAGTGTCCAGTATAGTTTCCATCCCAATTCGAGTGGACTGTGTATTGTCGCGGCTTATTTGAGAGATGCTGCAGCCCTCCTTTGAATACTAGCAGAGGCATTTCCGAAGCTATGGCGAGGCATTTGAAAATTAAAGTTGGGAGAGATGATTTCAGATTGAAGGTATTAAAGTCTCAGACACTTCAATACTAAGGTTCCCAAAAGACAAATCACAAGGCGACCCAGTGCTTGTCTTCATCGAGGCCGAAGAAAGCTCTTGTTCCTGGGTACATCCAAGACGAACATGTACATTTACAGAGCTTCGGCGCCTAGTTCGTGTGTGGTTGATTGTATGGATAATATTCGCCACGAATAAATCCAAAAATGCGGAACTTAAAGACGGCGTTGACGATGAATGCCTCTCGTCTTTCCCAACCTTTGGACGGTGGAAGCAAGTTAGCGGTTAGATGCACACGCATACGTAGGACTGTTGCGGAACAAGAAGGTTACAACTGCAATTCCAATCCCCCATCTCTGGCGTGATGATCCCTTTCTGTAACGAGTTGCTTAAAAACTAGCCGAGATGAGGCGGAAAGCCGTCAGGAATGAAGCATCGACGTCGCAACGGTAATTAGCGTTGAAATTTGCTCTAGGCAGGACCGCTCGAGCGATCCTGACTGCAATCTAAACCAGTTCCCACCCAATGCTGGAGGCATACCGTTGGTACTTCGAGATAAAATACGCATGCTTAGGTCGTAGGATATCCACGCGACGCAAGATTTTCCATCGAGGACTAACGAAGCTTAAAGGTATTGCTCAGCTCATTTCCTGCTTTTGCCGTCTTCTCTGTTTCGTCCTCCGGATATGGTATCTTTGTAGTATACTGCATGAGTATCCTCGAGATGAACTACACACGCGGCACGGCGGCTTGATAATCTTGAAACTTCCTTCAGACTACAAGTCGAAGACCAATAATGTTGTTTACTTGCCAAGCTACTGAGATGGTTCTCGAGTCAATCGATTATGAGTGAGGTCTCCTACAATGTTCACACCTTATACGTCTGATTTCCAACCCAAAGCAGATTGCATTCACACAAATGAGGTACTGCAAGACGTGGCCAGCCTCACAAAGCACACACACATCACGTAAACCACACAAAATGTCTTTCAGAAATGTGCTCTGCATTACATATTAACAGCATTGTATCTACCAACATCCACCGTTCCAATACCCACTCTGCGAATTCATCGCTTAACCGCGGCGGCGCGTGGTAGGAGCCTTCTTGGACGTGGCAATCGAGGTAGCCGACGGCGCAGCGATGCCAGGGGCCGCGGCGATGGGGACCTTCTGCTTGCCCTTGGCCTTGGCGGAGGGCGCGTTCCAGTAGTACGCCATCTGCGAGGCGAGGACGGCGTTGAGCAGGAAGCCCGCGATGAAGTTGTACAGGATGAGCTTGTCGTCGACCTCCTGGAGGGTGGTGAAGATGCGGGAGAGGGAGCCGAGGAGGTAGTTGAAGACCTGAGCAAACAGTTGATAAGCCTTTTGCCTAGTATGCTAGAGACAAGAGAGAGAAAACTTACAGCAAAGGCGCTGAGCTGTCCAGTGCCGCCCTCAGACCAGATCGCAAGAATCTGGGGAACCTTGCTCGCGACGCTCAACACGCCCGCGCCGGCCTGGAGGTATCCCAGCGTCTGCATATCAAGCAGGCCTCCGGCGAAGAGCGCGCCCATCGCCACAGCCAGAGCAGTGACGAAGACGGCCGCCAGGCCCGCGCGGCCGGTGTAGTTGAGCACGAGGACGGTGATGATGACGTTCTGGCCCATGATGAGCGCCGTCTCGCCGTAGGTGCTGAAGGGAAACTGGTTTCGGTAGTTGTAGGCGAGGGAGACGAGGTAGGAGGCGGTCTCGAGGAGGTAGGAGAGCACGGAGATGCCCTCGCCGGATTGCGAGGAGGTGAGCTTGCGGATCTGCGGCAGCTTGACGATACTGGAGACGCCGACGATGCCCAGGCCGATGCCCTTGGACAGGCCGAGTTTGATGCAGTCTACATCCTCAACGTTGATGTCTAGGAGGAGGGACTTGTAGCAGTGCTCGCCGATGATGGAGACGCCGAGGTCGCGGATCGGGGCGGGGAGGTTGTGCGTTACGGGCTGGAGGGCGGAGCGGACGGCATCCATCGTGAAGGTCGGGCTGGGCGGGGTTGTGCCGGCGTGGCGTGAATGTTATTTGGAAAAAGATTTGCTCAAAGATCGCGGGCGATTCCAAATTTTGCGCCGGAAGGTTTGCGCCAGGAAGGTGCGGGCTGGTAGAGAGGTGGGAGACGAGCGAAGATTGTTGAGCTGACGTCCACACTGACACGACACGTTGACGGAAGGGTTGAGGTCACTGATAAACCCTGAAAAAGACGTAAGTAAGGGGTGGCAGTCAATTGGACCAGTCGGAAATTTTTGCGGGGAGCTAAGGTCCTAGCTAAGAACGAAGAAAGACTGCATGAAATAAAAGCCAAGTCGGCCACCGCACAGCAAACATCCCTGCCGACGACCACCATCCAATTCCCGATACGTTGCCCCCGCGTACCACGTTAAACCTCCGAATTCAGCAATAGCTTGATGTCAAAATGCCTTTGTCGAGTCGACTGCAAGGCCGCGTGATGTAAAGCAGAAATGCCAGATCCATCGCAACATAGCTGCCACAACTGGCAACCCCGGGCTAGCCAGAAGTTTACTTCTTCACAGCCTTGGATTGCTTCTTCTCAAACGCAGCGATCAAGTGCTTGCAGTTCGCGAGGTTCTCTTCGGGCTCCATAGTGTTCTCATTGTTGGAGTAGCCCTTCCACTTCACCTCGTACTTCTTCTGCTTCTTGCCCTTGGCGGGCTCAACGCCAACGATGCGCTCGACCTCATATTCATCGTCTTCGGACTCAGCTCGCACAGCAGTGGGGCGCTTCTTGGGTGTCTTCTTCACCTGGGCTACACCTCTCGTGTGAGAGCTTGAGACCTTCAAGTATTGTTAGCCGTGTCTCTACATATTGCCATTTCGAGTGAATGAAAGGGAAATACCTTTTTGGTCGCGTCGGTGTTCTTGCCCGAAGATCGGAGAGACCGGTTTTCGTCTGCAGGGACACTTCGATTAGCTTGCAAGATCTTGAGGCGTGCTGAAATGCGGTGTTTCTTGCTCTGAATGCTGCCTCTGGTGGCCTTGCTGAACGTTGTAGGAGTCTGGGTCTTTGAGGGACGACCTGGACCACGGCGCTTCGGAGGGTCAGCCTCAGCAGCGGCGATGTTCTTCCGGGGGCGGCCGCGACGGGGGGTCTGAACGGGGACCTCTTGATCATTGACCGCGTCGTTACCCTCTACGCTCTCTTCCTCCCCATCGTTCTCGCTCTCATTCTGTCTTTCCGTGTCGTCCTCAAACTCTTTCTGTCTCTTAGGGTCGTCCTCAGTCTCGTCGCTGTTAACAGCATGGCCGTCGACGTTCGGGTTCTTCGACTTCTTGGCGGCCTGTGCTCTAGAGATGAATGTAACACCGGCTTTCTGTGTGTCATTGGCAGAGGCTTGCTCGAACTTGCGCTTGGCTTTTCCCGCTACCCGAGACGTGGCAGGCAATTCTGGAGTGCCAAGAGGAGTGCCATACTGAGAAGACGAACCTCCTTGAAAAGCTTCCACCTCGTCGAGACGCACTACAGAGTCCTCACGCTTGATCTTCATCGGAGCCAGGCTGGGGCGGCCACGCTTGCGCTTCGGAGCGGGAGCGGCATCGTCGGCATCAGAGCTGTTGTTTTTGATGCCTGGAATGATATCCGACGTGATCTGAGGGATAGTGTCATCCCCCATGTCGGCTTCCTGCTCGGCGCTGTCTTTCCATCAGTGCTCCGTCCAAAAAATGGGGATGGGGTATCTGTTCCTACTGTTGCGCCGCCTCGGCGGCCCGCGCAGCGAGCTGTTCCTGGGTCATGGGCTCATCGCGTCCCTTAAACACCGTTTGCTTCGACATGTTGGTGATTATCGATGGGTAAGGATGGTAGAAGTGGTAAGGCGTAGGAGTTGAGTGAGAAAAGGCTATTGGGCTGATGCTCGTCGACGCCTCTGCGAGTCGCGTTCTTACGAGTCGCGTTGAGGTGAGAGTGATTTTGGGAGAAGTTTGGTCAGGGTGGGGTGAGAGAAGTAAATCTGAATTGTGCCTGAGGTACTCGTGAGAAGATGGAAGGAGCGGGTGGCAGGAGCGGGTGAAAGGTCGCGCCTGCTGTCAATAGAGAGACCGCCTCGGTTCTCAGTCGAGGGAAGTTCCCAGCCAGCCAGCCGCTGACCAGGCCGTAAAAATAAGGAAAAGGGGGAAAGGGCACTGGGAAAAGTTTGAAAACAGAATGCTTCACAACATAAGCAAATACAATAACAACTCTTTCTTTGATGCTGGTCGAAACATTGGAGGAACGGGCAAAGAAGACGGGAGGTGACCAAGCTTCACCTTGCAGCCTTGTTGGGCGAAACATCACTGCTAGTAGCCTTTCGGACAACACAGTGTACGTAGGTATTTACTAGACAACAGAAGGTGCTGGTCGTATCAAAAGCGAGTAGTGCTTGAATCGAGCCAGCTTGACACCAGACCTCAAGCAGATGTGTCACACCGAATCTAGACCGACATGAAGCATGATTTGGCGGCCACGCAAATTTGCCGTCATGGCACTTTCCTGATGTTGGCTTTGTATCTCATCTTCCCGTGTTCCTTCTGCCATAATCCTATTAATCCAACTCTTCCACTCTGTTCTCTCCCAATTCATCAAAACGCCCTGATCTCACAGCTTGCTCCACTGGGTTCTGAATATCCACGATGCCTGTTCTTCTCAATCTGCTGGGCGTTAGTGTGGTGGACTGTATGCATGGACGAGCAAACTTACCTCTCAAACAACACAAACAGCCTCTCGGCTTCTCTCTCTTTTTCTTCCTCTGTCATCTCAGGAACGTCGACGTCTTTCTCCTTGTCGATGAATTGACCCGTAATGGGGTTGACATGTCGCTGGCCATCTCCGCTGCTGAATGCCTCGGAAGCATTGGCGGGAATGGGGATGTTGTTCTGGAACAAGAAGCCGGACGCGAATCCGTAACCCACGTTTTCGACAAACTTGGACGCATCTTTGTCGGACATGTCGAAGAGCAGATGTGAGATGGCGTCTCGGAGTTGCGGGGTCATGGGGTTGGTGGAGTTACGCAGCAGTCTGGACGTCAGGGACGTACCACGGCCGAGAACCTCCTTTCTGTCCTCTTCAGTTGGGAGAAGAGTTGTGCGGATATACTTCTTCACTTCCTCAGGGGCACCATCGTGTACCCTCCGCAGGACGCCAACGAGGGGTGTCGTCAATTGCTCTAGCTCATTATCCGTGTACGCCTTTAATGACAGGTCCAACAGCTCGATCAGCCTCTCGGACACCTTCTTGGGCTCATTCTTTGGGTAGATGGACGACTGGATGTCCTCTTCCTCAAGCTTCAAGTTGAGAAGCGCGTTGACTAGGGAGTTGAAAGGAGGGTCAAGCGGCTTCTTGGGAGAGATGTCCTGCTTCCACAACAAGGCTATGATATGAGGTATGCTGGCCGTGAACGCGGATGCTTCAGAGGAGCAAAAGTGAGACACGTTGAACAGCAAGCGCAGAATCTCATTCAACGCCATGTCTTCCATAGGGTCGACGGGTGACTTGTTCTGCCCCTTCGCAAATAACTTTGCATGTTTGCCCAACTGCTCTACCACGGTCTCCGCGAGACCGTGCTTCTGAATGAGACCAAGGAGATCAATGTTCGTTTCGTAAGTCGTAAGGAAGATGACTCTGGAGGCGAGAAATTCATCATCAAAGCTGTCGCTCTTCAACTTCTGGCAAGCTTTATCCTCATAACCGAGATCAACGAACATCTGCCGGGTCTGTGGGTTCAGCAGCATCGCATTTGCAAGAACCCTCAATGCAGCTCTAGAGGTTGAGCTCGAGGGGCTATTGAACGCATGCTTCGTGAGAATCTCAATACCCTGCGATGCGTCAGCTTTAGATGATAACGCTGTAAATGATAGGTCACACCTCAGGAGTAAAGATGGGGCCGGCATCCCTAGGATCCCGTCCATAGATCTTGAGCTCTTCCAGGGCGGCGTCTCGTTCTGCCAAAATCAGCCATATGAGCTTTGGAAAGAGTATAGTCAAATTACTCACGCTGCGGAAGCAGGCTGACGCTCTTTAGATCCTCACCAAGCTTGCTCATCAAGCTGGTGACGGCCTCGAGCTTCGCTGGACGGCGGTCAATTATAGGCTCGTCAGACCAGGATGGGCCGCAGGAGCATACCATTGCCAGTCAAGTTGGCCTGCATGAGGATCGGTTGGGACATGGCGCGGCGCGGGGGACCGGTCCTGGGGCCGGTCTCGGTAGTGGATTTGTAGCCGAGAGTAGTATGAGAAACACAAATGTTGGACGACGTAGTGGCAGGCGATGACGCTCGACGAGCCTTTCGATTCTTGACATTTAGCATCCTCCTCAATATAGACACCATGATTTGGGGACAGGCCAGGCAATGGCGTTGAAAACGAGGAACACACGGGATTACCTATGAGATGGAAAGATGAAAGATTTGGGTCTTTCTGGCGCTCGGCGGGAAACGATTGTACGGTCGTACAACTGGACGGGTAGGTGTGTCTGTGGTTGTGGCTCTTGACGTCGATTCAAGTGGCTTGATATTCTAGGCCCCCCAATGGCCCGAAGCTAGGTTCGATGCAGCGTTGAGATTCGATTTAAAGGGAAGCTCCGGCAGCGACGCTCCGAGCAGACGTTTTCGGGCGATTGAGCCTAGCTTTTGGGGAAGATCAGTTTGGTGCAGTCAGGTATTTCAATTGAAGCTCAGCTGAAGTGACGGATAATCATCCAGTGACAAAGGGGGATGAGCCGGCCCAGACCACAAGACCTGACACTGGACAGCTCCTACGCTTCCGATCCACTGTTGTTGCACAGAGCAGGACGGGGGGACGCCACAGTGGCTGCATTGCGCCAGGCGTTGACGTGAGCAACTTGACAGGCCGGCTGCAGCGCCCGGACTGCTTCTTACCCCCGGCGGCTTCAGGGGCACGAGGGGGTAGATGGTGAGGTGGGTCTGCTCTATCGCCAGCCGCAGTGGCACGGGTGGCTCAAGGATGAGCTAAGCAGGACAGTTA